GTAACAGAAACAATAATGAGCAGAAAGAGAAGATAGTAATCAGGAGGACAGTAGATAGCGATTGACATTTTTGCAGATTAAAGCATGAAGCCAAAGGGAGTTCCACAAGCAAGAAGTGTAAGAGAAGAAACTGTTAGCATATAATTTATGGCTACATCTAGCCAGTTCAACTATAAATTGATGAAATCTTGATGCCAGTCTAGTGCTGCACTTAAATTCAAAAAGGCTAGGTACTATAGCAAAGATCGATATTTATTCGGCTTTATTTACAGAAATGTGACACAAGGCCAAAATGGGAGAAAAGGATATTCTTCTTCTGTTTTAACATTAAACTTAGCTAGTTACAATCACTGACCCAAACATACCACAATATTCCTTACACCAAAACAATGCATTCTTACTTATCATTCTTACAATATTCACGTCAATGTCTCTATGAAGATCCTAACTAGTCCCCATATGTACAATTCATGTCTGTGTTGGGGGGAGCTCATATGCACAATTACCATGAAAGTACTTATATAGAGAGGCAACCTTACGGCAGTGGAAAATGGACTGGAGCTAAACCACCAAATCAGGACTAATAATATTGTTGATTCTTCTTTGGATTTTATCAAGGAGCTCAAGGTAAATAGCAGAGGCACCAGACCATATGTGGCAGCAATATTCTAAGCATAGACGAATGGTAAACTTATAGATACATTAGATAGGTTCTGGAGAAAAAGAATTGTTTCACCCGACATAGTGAACTGACTTACTATGGTAACAATCATCCATTTTTGGTCTGATCTGACTTTTGTAAAGATGGTAGGAGGAGTCATATACTTTCAGGGGTGGTGCAAGAAACCCACCATTTTCCCAGCATCTTTAGAGATGGATTGTATGATTTCCTCTTGAGATCTGGGATGAACTTGAGTCCCAGTAGATGTTCAAGGCAAGGATCCTCTTTGAGAGTACAAGTGTTTATCTATGACTAAATATTTTATTGTGTCAAAAATATTCCAACATTATTAAAAGCTAATTTACTTGTGCTGGCAGAAAATTAAAGCAATATTTAAGTTTTTGACATAAGTACAATGAATTGCAAAATTAACATCTATTTATCTGCAAGCTAAGATATAAATAAATTATGTCAGATAATTTTATTTCTTTATTTCATCAGAAAAATTTAATAATATGGATGAATGAATTATCTATCATCACTATTTTTATTTGAATAAATGCTGAAAGGTGTTACATGCATGAAAAATAACACTCTCAATTTATCTTATCTTTACTGTCACCAGAAGACTTCACTACATAGTAACATGTTACAAATTAATATATATATAGACCAAGAACTTTTTTTAGCATGGCCTTGTGTATATATATATATATATATATATATAATAAAAAGGCTTAAACACTAATATTCCATTGTCATAATTTATTCCATTAGAATCAGAAAATCTGAAAATCATCAGACCTACAAATTCAAAATGAAAACAGAAAAAAGTCCGGAAATCAAAACAGAATTTAGAGAAAGTGTAAGTATGAGGAGGAGGGACATGAAACCTTAATAGAGAGAATTTTAGGAGAGATGGGTGGGTGGGGATTTAAAAGAGGAGAGAAAGAAAGTATTTTCTTTCTCTCCTTTTTAAGGTTTCATGTCCCTCCTCCTCATACTTACACTTTCTCTAAATTTTGTTTTGATTTTGGAGTTGTTTTTTTTCTGTTTTCATTTTGAATTTGTAGGTCTGATGATTTGGATGTATTTATTTACGATTCCAATGGAATAAATTATGACCATGGAATATTAGTGTTTAAGCCTTTTTATTATATCCTTACGTCTGTCCTAGACATTGAGTTCTACCTGGATCCTTCCTCTTGAAAATTTTTTTTTTTCTGAAAATATACATGTATGGGAATTTTTATATATATTTTGCATATGTATGTATATTTTCCACTAATATTATATATATATATATATATATATATATATATATATATATATATATGCATGCAATACACACAAAACTTTAAATACGTCGGTAAATGAATTACTTTTGTTAATTTTTGAGTGAATAGAAATATACTTCTCAGTACATTTTATGATTTTTAAAGGCTGGAAAACAAGTTGCTGTATTTTCATCAAAGCTATTTGGTGGGGAGGTGGGTAATAATACATCTTAAGCATAATGATGCTGAAAAAAATCCATGCAAAAATACTGGACCACCAGTGAAAACTTCACCTTTCAGCTTAAGAGTGATTACCAGTATACTTTTCTCAATACATTTTATGGTCTTTGAGGGCCAGAAAACAAATTAATGTACAAGGTTGTCAGAAGTTATCTGCACTTTTGCTACAACATATCTGTGTTATGAGTATGGATAATTTTTGACCATCAGTGCTCTACGGTGGGTGATAGAACATCTTAAGTATAGTGATGCTGAAACAAAGTCAGGCAAAAATACTGAACCACCAGCAAAATTTAATCTTTCAGCTAGTTTCTTAAGTTAAAAAAGAACTTTTGTTTTTTTACAAAAAGTGATCTTTATTATTATAGAAAGTACACAATGTCGAAATATGGAATCAGTAGTTAATGTTGCTGCCTTTGGCTTAAAAAATCTTGACATGCATCATAATAAAAAAGAATGCTGGGAGCAGGCCAGGAACAACAATTACTCACATTAACTAAGTAAACAAAAGAGTACCTTAACCAGGGAAAGGGTCCAATAGGAAACTGCCCTGTTGTGTCAAAGGGAAACTAAAAAAGAAACTCTAGACTGACCCCTTTCACACAGACTAAGTTCACTGCTTTCACTCGTCTTTTGTTGAAATCTGATAACAAACACTTTCTATCAGTTCTAATCCTAGACTCCAAAATGTGTTTTGGCTTTAAATAATCCTTAAAGGGTTGATAAGCTGTAAAAAAAACAATCAATCGATCTAATGGTATAACTGGAGAGAGATAGAACCAGCATCCCAAAGGATTGTTTACAAGCCATATAATTGTTTAAAAAAAACTTTCAGCATAAAATGATCAACAAGGTGGATATGCAATTAAAACAATCAACCAATCAATTTTCCTTCTGTGAAATTCTGATTTGAGGTATTCTTGCAATAAATTTTTTGTCACTCTTTGGCAAAGTCTTCGAAGCCCTAATCAATGCCGAAGTGGTTAACCACCTTACATCCCATGATCTGCTCTCAGACAAGCAATATGGTTTCCCATGCCCAATCTACAGCTGATGTGCTTTACGGCCATCACTGAAACCGTCTACCAAGCCCTTCCAAATAACGGTGAGGTTTCGTGTAAATGGCCCTAGACATCTCCAAAGCGTTTGATAGGGTTTGGCATGCCGGCCTTCTTCGTAAGCTCCAGGGTTATGGTATTACAGGGGGATTGTTTGACCTAATACAATCATTCCTGTCAAACCATGAATTGATGGTCGTTCTCAACGGATTCTCCTCCTGTTCCTATCCCATGAACGCAGGTGTTCCCCAAGGCTCCATCCTTGGCCCCACTCTATTCCTTATTTTCATCAATGACCTTCCTGATGCCATAGATTCCCAAGTTGGCATCTACGCGGACGACACTACAATTTACTCCTGCCTCAAAAACAAATCTAGTGTCGGTGACAAAACTAACCTGGCCGTGCGTCTTGAAATGGACCTCCAATCGGTTGTTAATTGGGGCAAGAATTGGCTGGTCAACTTTAACACCTCAAAAACTTAACTACTCTCTATTAATCACCATAGAGATTCTTCCCTGCCCCCCATTAGAATGTCTGATAGTCAACTCCCTGCATCTGCTTGGTCTCACGTTGACTGCTGACCTGAGATGGAACAAATACATTGAGTCAATTGCTTCTTCCACTGCGAGGAAAGTTGGCTCTCTGTGCCACGCCAGGAAATTTTTCTCCCCAGAATCGATACTTCAAATATACAAATCAACCATTCACCCTTGCATGGAGTATTGCTGTCATATATGGTCTGGGGCACCTTCTGTTTACCCCGGAGTTCTTGACAAGATCCAGAGATGGATATGTAATATAATTGGCCCTGATCTGGCGTCTCGTCTACAGTCACTCTCTCACAGACGCGTCATTGCCTCTCTCTGTCTTTTCTACAAATACTTTCATGGTAATTGCTCCGATGAGCTGCTTTCACTAGTTCCCAGACTCCATGAATTCAAGCGCCCTCTACCAGGCTGGCATCCCGCTCCCACCCTTACACTGTAGAAACTTTTAAATGTAGCTGTCTCTTCTACTCCAATAGCTTCATACCTCGCGCCTCTCGCCTGTGGAACACCCTTCCCAATTACTGTTTCCCTGAGAGCTATAATCTCCAACTATTCAAATGTAGTGTCAATCGATATCTCCAGTTACCGTGATCTATCAACTATCCCTCTCCTCATCCTTTCTTCTATCACTCCTATCTGCTCTTGCTCCAAATCTTCTGCAACCCCCTGCATCCTAGTGGCTTCACGTCTTGCTCGGGGCGTAATGCTTAAAAAAAAAAAAAAATATTATATTTTTGGGTCTTAATTTTTGATCTGATGAATTAGAAGCCATTGTCAAAATGCAAGATAAATAACACAACTGTCCAATAAATTAATAGTTTGCAATAAAAAGATAAAAGGGCAAAAATGAAATACTATCAAGCAAGTAATATATGCAAAGCAAATCAACAGGTAAGAAGGCAAAAGAGTTCACAAACTATGAGTTGGTGTTTGCACACAAAAGCAAGGTCAGGCAAGCGAACACAGTGGGTCTGTCTAGTAGATAAAGCAGATCTAGACTGAGTCATGTCAAAACACAAGCTGCCTGTTTTATTGGCTGAGAAAAATATCTCAGCATGCATTTTGTAGACTTTTGCCTATAAAAGGGAAGGGTGGAAGTTTTGCATCTATTGCCCTTCTGTGAAATCAACAGTTAACTTTGAAAATTACAAAATACTATGGTTAACCTGTTGCATTTATAATAAAATTACAAGGATCTTTTTCTTTTTTATTCAG